AAGAGCTCGCGCGGAAGTTTTTTTAGCAAATCAGTGTTGCGAGGCCATGTGTTTTTGTTTGTTTTTGGGAATTCGATTGCGGAATCCTTCCGGCGCCGAAGTTTTTTGACGGATTTCGGCATGCGCGCGCGACGACGCGCGCGTGTGCACTTTGTTCAAGTCTGTTGCTAGGGATTCCTGAACAAGTGTTATGTTAGAACAACACATGTCACCGCATAGTGTTTTTCACAAGGGAACCTCAGGGGGGGAACCCGGCTGGCCTGGGATAGTGTAAATTCATATTTAGGATGGACATGTGGTCAGGATCATATATGATTCACATACCCGATAGGAGGGCCGATAACGCCGGGGGAGGGGGTAGATCCTATTCTGTTTTTAGAAAAGGAGAGTTATTTGCTGAACTTGAAGTTGTCAAGTCCACTGCCCGTGCAATCATCCCACCCACCCACCCGCATCTTGGTTTGCAAAACCCGTGCGGGAACGATTGCGATGAGTGCTTGGTGTTGGCTGGTGCATCTCTGCAGCGCGCTAGCCCGCGCATGCTCGCGCGCGCAGCGGCCAGCTAGTTTGGCGCGACCGACGCGGCCGCGGTGGCGCTGACCGCTGGGCACATTCTACCGGGCACTTCTTTGCGAGTCGGCGACTTGGGCGGGCGCGGTATCATGGCGACGTCGACAACGGTACACACCATGATGATAGTACTGATGTTGGCGACGATGCTGACAGCGACGACGGGGCAGCCAGTGACGGCGCCGATGCTGAGCACGCTGGCGACGATGACGGCGTTTTCGCGTCGGTGATGAAGGTTTTGGAAGGAGTTCGAAGTGCGCGCGCGGCAGACGCGCGAAAGTGGCCCGCGTGGTCTTTTGTTTCGGATCGTGCCACCCCAGCACGCGCGCAAAGGCGTTCGAACGATGCCGACACGCGCACGAAGCCCGCGTGGTAGCAACTTATTCAGATGTGGAAGCGCGGCTGGTTTTCTAAACAATTCGCAAGATCGCGCGCGCATTTTTTATTGAAACCAGCGGTGCGAATCCAGGTGTTGCTTTATATGGTGTGGAACGCTCGATTTTGAAATCCTTACGAAACCGGTCATTAGTGAAGGATTCCGGCATGCGCGCGCGACGACGTGCGCGCGCACTTCGTCTCATTTGTTGTAAGGGTTTTTTTTGCAGTCTCATGATTTGTGATAAACGAGTGTGCGCGCATAGTTTTTTTTTTCGGCATCGGATGACAAGAGGGGGTCGATACGGTTTGGGCTGGGATGGTACGAGGTCAGATTTAGGATGGACGGTCGCGCAGAATCATATGTAATTTGCAATACGAAACGGGGAACCGATAATCCTCGGGGGGGGGGGTCGAGTCTATCTTTCTGTTTGAAGAATACGAAAGGATAGTTGTTAATTAGAAATGGGTTGACATATCCCATGCCCTTGCAAACGTCCCGCCCACCCACGTTCAACTTGATTTTCAATGCCCGTGCGGCGGCGATTGCGATAAGTGCTCAGCGTTGGCTGGTGCACCTTTGCGGCCGCGGTAGCCCGCGCATGTTCGCGCGCTTAGCGGCCAGCTAGCTTGGCGCGACCGACGCGGCCGCGGTGGCGCTGACCGCTGGGCACGTCCCAGCGGCCGGTTCAGTGCGAGCTGGTGACTGGCGGGCGCGGCAAGAAGGCGACGCCGACATCGGTAGACGAGATTCTGGGAGTAGCGATGATGGTGGCGATGGTGGCGATGACGACGGCAAGGCCAATGACGGCGCTGATGTTGGTCACGTCCGCCGAAAACGATGACGAATTCCTCGCGTCGGCGACGAAAGTTTCAGGAATAACTTCGACACGCGCGCGCAACCGACACGCGCGAGTGGCCCGCGTGGTTTTATTTGACAAGGATCGCCTCCGCCCCCCCTCGCGCGCGCGCGAAGGCGTTCGAAGGGGTTCGGCATGCGGCGAAAGAGGCTCCTTTGGCATAGTGTCATAAAAATGTTGAAAAGCCAATGGTTCCCTCAAGGATCCGCGCTACCGCGAGCGCAGGTTATTTTGGAACCGGATGTTAAGAAATCCTGTGCTCGGGACCCTGATTCTTGAAGTGTGTACGAAACGAAAGTTGTTGCAGGATGCTTGCACGCGCGCGCGACAATGCGCGCGCGTGCACGTCGTTCAAGTGTTGCAACAGTTTTCATGCCACAGGACCCGCGCAAGGACGTTAGAACGATTTCGACGCACGCGCGAAAGGCCTGCTTCGAAAAAATTAAGCAAACCGCTGGTTTTGTGATGGCTTCGCAAACAACGCGGTCGCCGTTTGTTTGGTTTGTTGGGTGTGTGTGATAGAGGACCTACTGTTGCGAACTCATGTGCGTTTTGATTTTGTGATTATCGATGTTGACATCCCCCTTACGAGACCGAGAATTGTTGAAACAAGCGTTCGAAGTTCGTTTTTGGTTGCAAGCCGTTTAGAAACCCATGCTTGTTGATCAACGAGTGCGCGCGCGCATCTTTTTCCACATGATGAATTGCGGAACCAAAACCAGCTTGCCTGGGATGGTCTGAGTTCAAAATAGGATGGACGATGGGACAGACTCATGTGTATATTGCAAAACGAAAAGGTGGACCAGTAACCCCTGGTGGGCGGAAGTTTTCATTTCTCCGAAAAGAACCATGGTGTGCAAGTTACGTGGGGCCATTCGAGTTTTTTGTTCAGTTCATTTTCTTGTGCAGACTGCATGAAGCAGGAAAGTTATGTGGTGCAACCTGCGTTATACAATCCAGGTGGTGCCATCTACCCGGGGCAATCTTTGTGTGGTGCAAGAGTGGGGTATCAATCTGTATGGCGCTGGCAACGCTGTGCAATCTATGTTGTACAATCCATGTGATGCAGTTTGCGTTGCCCAGCCCGGGGGGTACAATGTATGTTGTGCACTCCAGCGGCGGGCGACGGGCGGCCTCGAGGCGGCGGCGGGGCAGCGACGGCGACAACAGAGCCGCCAGACCGCAACACCAGCCTGGACGACGGGCGGCGACGGGGCGCCGACGGCGACAGCGCAGCCGCCAGACCGCCACACCAACCCAATCCAGCAAGAACCCCCTAAGTCAGCGGCGAGCGAGGGGGGGAAATGAGATGGAGGAGGCCTTTTCAGAAGGCGGCAGGGCTTCTCAGAAGCCTTCGTTTTTTCGGGGAAGTTTCTTGCGTTTTCTGGGCAAGTTAATTCAATATCTCAGAAGGCCGGAAGACTTCCGAGCCTTCTGAGAAGGCCTCGCTTTTATCCTCTCCCCCCTCGTTCGCCACGTACTAAAGGCAAACACTGTTTGCTGAATACAGAATTTGTTGTAAAAGCCTATAACGTTTGACTTCGAAGTCCAGGGTTCCTCGTTTTGCGAAGGATCGCCGGGCGCACGTTTTGAGCAGTGCGGCGTGCGAGGGTGCTTCTGCGTGTCAACGGCCTTGCATTGAGTCGATTCACTGGATGTTCAGATGCCAGAGTCGGGAACAGGCCGTCCCGAACATGAGCAGCTGTGACTTCTGCCGTTTTCAAGCCCCCCTCCTTCCCACGAAGCTACAGGAGGGAGCAGGGCAGTGGTGGCGCAAGGCCGTTGGGAGTCGACCGCGATGTCTTGAGAAGGGGCGCCACGGAATGCTAGGCGCCTGCCCAATGTGCGTGCACACTGTGCAAAAGGGTGGATGGAAACGTCCTGTGAAGGTAGCGCGACCGCCATCCACCGAAACACGCAGAGGGGCACGAAGGTGGTGCCGATACAGAGCGCTCACCTCATCATCCGTCCTCCCTCCCTCCCTCCCCCCGTCCCTTCACGCGTACTCCATGCCGGTATGTCCTTTCACACTCATTGTTTCGTATGTTTGCACATTCTTTGTTTTTCTGTATGAATTTGGAATGCTTCAGTATTTCAACATGGTGCAGCCGCTGCAGAGCTGGCCACAGTTTAGGATCGGCGCTTTGCTCACGTCGTTCACAGTGGCACTTTCGCCCCAGCGCGGGCCACTGTTCTGGAGCCGAGACATCGTTGTCGCCGCCCTCCTTGCCCCTCCTCTGCCTTCCCCTGGTCCTCTTGCTCCTCCCGCTCCTTCCGCTCCAGTTCCCCCTGCTTTTCGTCCTTGTTCTCCACCTCCTTATCCTCATCGTCCTCATCTTTTTTTCTCCTATCCTGCTGCTCATTCGACACCTCCTCCTCCCCCTCAATATGTACGCAACTCTCCTCTTCCGATTGCGCATAATACGATGTGTCTTTGGTTGAACGCTATGACTGCTGTGACACGCGTCCGCGGATAGAGAATAACTCAGCGCAATGGGAAGGGATTGGTGGGATGGGTCGGAGGTCAGATATGGCGCGAGTGCACCTAATTATCTTGCCCCTCCCCCTCCCTCTCCTTCCTCTCCTCCTCCTCCTCGTCTCCTCCTCCCCCTCGTCCTCCTCCTCCTCCTCCTCCTCCTCCTCCTCCTCCTCCTCCTCCTCCTCCTCCTCCTCTCTCCCCACCCCTCTCCGCTCCCCCTGCCTCTCCTCCTCCTCCCCTCTCCCTCCACGTCTTGCCCGCCAGAGGTCTGGACCCCTACTGGGACAGGCTTCTCATCCCGAGAGTCGCTTTCTGACGGCCCCGAGGCCCAGCAAGGCCCCCCCCGGAGGCCGGCAATGGCGAAAGACCTTCCCGTCGTGATTCTTTCGCGACGCGAGAGGGTCTGGGAGTCTCTCCCCCCCGTCCCCCCTTCCTCCTCGTCCCTCTCTCCTCCTCCTCCTCCTCCTCCTCCTCTCCTCCTCCTCCTCCTCCTCCTCCTCCTTCCGTAGCCATTTTGGCTCAAGGCGCCTGGTGGCCAGGCACCAAGGCCGGGAGCGGACGCGCTCCCCTGGCCCCGCGGGGCCGCTCTCCCTCGGCCCGCCGCGGCCGCGCCTTCCTCCCCTCCCTGGCCATGCCGTCTGAAGATAGCTGGCCTGAATCGCTCGTTTCCACTCCGCCAGCCTCCCACTCCGCCTGCATCCCCTGGAGGTACGTCCATGGAGGGAGTGAGGGACACGGAGAAGATCCTCGCTGCCATGCGTGATATGATTGCTCCTCTGTCGTCGTCGGTCGCCAGCCTGTCCAGTCAGTTGAATCTCGGCGTTCAGGAGATAAACCAACAGATCTCGGGAATCCAGGGTCAGATGATTGCAGCTGAGAAGAACTTCCAGACACTTCAGCAGGCGCACACGGAACTGGCAAAACAGACGGCAGCGAATTTCGAGCAGATGCGTGTGATCCACGAACAGGCCCTCCTGCAGTGCATACAGGACCGTGAGACCGCAGAATCCGCTCTCCGTGATGAGCTCAAAGGAATGATCCAGACGATGCGTGACGAGATCCAGGACATTCAGAAAGTCGTCGAGCTAGGGACCCCTACACCTCGCGGGGGAGATGATAGGCAAGTCCGTCGGAGGGTTGACTCTGGGCTTGTGGGGAACCCCTCGCGTCTTGTGGTTCTTGGATTTCCACGGCCGCTCATGGAGAAAACGCTCCGAGAAGCTGTCCAGAGTATCCTCTCCCGCTGTGCTCCGTCCTCGACTCAGGGTACGATCCATGTCAAGGCCTACGATTGCAGCAAGAAGGTGTTCCTGGACTTTGAGTCCAACCTAGAGGCCTCCACGTTCCATGGAATGGCGTCGTCCGTGGGCGCGTTCCCCTTCCCGAACCCTGAGGGCGGTCCCGACTTACAGCTGCGGGTCCGACGTGATCTTCCCCCCACTTCCAGGAAGCTGTTCTACTATCTCGGGAATATGCGACAGCATGTCGCCAGAATCTTCGGGGCGGACAAAGTGGGGTCGACGGGGCTAGGAGGTGCAGTGTATGTGATGAAGGACAACGGAGTCCCTGTGCAAGTGGTTAAGATTTCTATTGTTGATGATGGCCCCGCTGCGGGCACCGCGCAGTGTGGCGTCGAGATCGAGGGGTTGACGGAAGTGGGAGGGCAGCAGCATGCACAGTGTCTGCACGCCAGGTTCGCAGAGATCCGCCCCTTTCGGTGAGTATCGGAACAGTTCGACAGGTGAGTGTGCGGTGGGGGGAAGTCCAGTGGGTTCTGCTACTGAGTGCTCGTCCGCCCTCTCCGCCCATTTTGATGTACACCACGCAAGTGACAGTGCTTTATCCTTCTCGCCGCCTGCTGGGGAAGCTGGTGGTGTCTACCGTCCTGCCGTCCTCTGTCTCTATGCAGTTGGAACACGCGCGCGCTCTTCGCCTCTCTTTCGTCTCGTTCCTCTCGGTCGCGTTCGCGCTTCCTTCGGGCTAAGCAGCTGCTCTCACAGTATCAGGTCATGTGTTTACAGGAGACGCACGGATCTGAAGCAGACTTGGTTATCCTTCGGGACGAAATGCGGACTGGGCAAATTTTTGTGAGCTTTCTGGAGGATCGGAATGCGGGGGGGGGGGGGGGGGGGGGGCCTTCCTGTCTTCGGAACTCTGTGACTGCTTCGACCAGATCACTCCGATTACGGTCGTCCCTGGGCGGGTATTACTAGTCCATGGTCGGGGACCCCGAGGCGATTTGGCAGTGGTCAATGTACATATGCCAAACACATGCGGTGACGTTCGTATCTATCATCAGTACTTACGCCTTATCAATGCCGCCCTTCCTGCGGCAGTGCATACTATGGCTATCATTCTGGGAGACTGGAATTTCTGTACGATGGAGGATGGTAGGTCTCTTGTCTCTGGGGAGATTGGGCCTGGGGACCGTTTGCAATGTGATGCGTTTCAGGAACATTGTAGCCACTGGTGTGAATTATACCAACCTGACCCGACCCGAAGGGATATTGTGAATCGGGAACTGAGGGGGCTGGCCAGATTAGATCGGATTTACACGACCCTTACTGCAGGTATTCTCAATGAGATGACCGTTGTTGTCAACGCTGCCGGCACCCTCATGCATCCAGGGGCCTCCTCCGATCACATTCCTGTCGCTGCCACTATTTCCCCCCCGACCCCGAAGGGTCGTTTCTCGGTTCCGAAATGGATCAGCCAGCATGCCGACTACCACAGAATGGCTTCCGAACAGCTTCGGGAGCTGACACCCCCATCGGACCCTGCCCAGAAGCTCGCAAGGGTGAAAGAGGTTTTTGAACAGCTGCGGTGGAATTTAAGAAGGCCCTTAAGTGTCGACCAGCGGGCAACGATGCGGAACGGCTCCACTTTGCGTTCATGGCATACCGTGGATGGAGGGGTCGGCAGTGGTATCTCTGTCTTCGTGCCATTCGCTGCTACGCTTCTCTCCTGCCTTTCTTCGACGTCGACGGCGGCGTGTGCACTGATCCTGATGGCCTCCACAGATTGGTACTAACCCTGAAGGGGCGCTGGTTTGATGCGGAGTTGGAGGAGTTGGATCATAGTAACCGTGTGGAGGAGGTCAGGGCCAAGAAGGGACGGATGCTGGTGGCTCTTAGGCGTGGGTGGTATCTCATGAGGAGGAGGACCGGGCTGCTAGGCGTTCTGGACGAGAGCGGGACCCCGTGCACCTCCCCAGAAGCGGCTTCTGCGGCACTGGTTGCCAAGTGGAGTAAGGTCTTTGCCCAGGCGGATTATGACCCGACTCAGTGGGAAGAAATACTGACCCACGTTCAGACTATTGGCGACTGTTCTCCTGCCCCACGGTGGAAATTGGACGCGGGTGAATTTCGGGGCCGTGTCGGCCATAAATGTCATTCTGCTCCTGGCCCTCCTGAATGTCGGGTTATTCGCATGGTGTTCTTCCCGAAGGGCAGCGACCCCCGTGATCGCAGCGACTTTGTCTCTCGTGCACCTGCCTCCACCCGCTCGCTCTCCCTCGCGAATACGGATGCGGAGATACTCTCCGATGCCTTCTGTATGGGACTCAATGACGTCGCTCCTGTGACGGTGGATGCCTCCCAGCGTGGTGGGGTTCGAGGGCGTAACATTCTTGACAATGTCGTCGAGGTTGGAAAATGGGGCCTTATCCAACACATGTGTGGTAGGGATTAAGCGGGGGTATTGTTCGCCGATCTCAAGGCGGCGTTCCGTTCGATCCTGGCCGAGTGGATTTTTGCCGTTTTGGTGGCCATGGGGGTTCCTAGCGAGACCGCGGGTTTCTTCCAAGCCCTGTACACCAACAATACGGCCCTGGTCTGCTTTGAGGGCGCTGCCGAAACGGTTTTCCCAGTGGAACGTGGCGCGCGGCAGGGGGATCCTGCGTCAATGGCCCTATGTGCTCTGGCCCTGGGCCCCGTACTGCGCTGGATCCATGCCCGCCGCGTGGAACGCGTAGGTGTCCAATTGGCGTACGCTGACGACTGCTGCTTTGGACTATGTGATATTCTCATCGATCTCATGGCCACCTTGTTGCTTCTCGACTTGCTCTCTTCCGCGGTTGGTCTCTCGTTGAATGTGGGGAAATGCTACGTCCTGATCTGCGGGGCGCTGAATGACTCGGAAAGGCAGCCGTTTCGCCTCAGTCCGTTTCGCCACCAGAGTTTTGTACCTTGGATTCTGGGTGGGCCCATCGGCCCATGAAGTTGCCTGGGTTGAAACGATGAAGAAGTTCTGGCAGCGAGTTCGTCTTCTTCGCTCTCTCTCGCTGGGCTTGGCGACCACCATCCGCCTGTTCCACTCTAATTGCCCCTCCGTCTTGCAGTGTCGGATTCAGCTGGTGAGGGTCACCCCAGTGGTTCGGCGTCAGTATAGGGAAGCATTGCAGATACTCACAGCGGGACCTCGGCATGCATTGAACTACACTATGTTCACCCAGCTACGTGACCTTGGGATCTCACTGGAATTCGTCGGCCTGGGACTGTATGATAAAGCTACGTCATTTCGGGTGGTAATGCGGTGCAAGGCATTAGATGATGCGCTTTACGAGTTAGATGGTTTAGCTAGTGGTTCGACCGATCATGAGTTCATTCCTGCCCGTATGTTTTCTATGTGGTGGTGCCATTCGATGATACGCACGACGAATGAGGATGCTGCGGGCCTTGTGAACTCTCCCATTGATCGTACTGCCCGTCTTATCCAGGCCAAGGTCCATCGGCATTTACGGTCGGTTCGTATGGCTGCCACTCCCTTATTGTTTCTGAGTGTACGGGTATCGAGGTGGTTAGTTGCAGCAACTCTTCAGGATATGTTCCGTCTGCGGACAAGATTGCGCGCAGTGGAGCGTTCCACGTGCACCCATCTGGCTACCAACGTTCTCCGTGTTCTGTCCAGGGGCGTTTGTACTTCGGCGCGTTTTCATGCGAATGACCGTGGGTGTTGCTTTGGGTGTGTGGCCCCTGATGACCTTCATCATTGCAAAATCTGTGATCGATTCCGTGACCTGGCACTGCACCGTCTCCCTGGGTTGGAATCATTACCCACACCTTGGAGGGAGATGTGGCAACACCGAGATACCTGGTTTACCTGTCTGCGTCTGATGGGACCATCCTGGGGGCTCGACCGTGACGTGGCCTGTGCTGCCTTCCCCGATGCATTTCTGAAGACGCATGCCCATCGTCGGCGCCTGACACAGCCCCCCTTGTCCCAGGTCATCGTTGCCCGATTGCGTCTTCTGGCTCGGCGGTATACTGGCGTTGAACGACAGTTCGGGGCACGGCGCATTGGGCGAGCCAACGCGTGAAGTGACGTCGTCTGAGTGCACCTCGGTTCCCCCCACGGGTGGACGACGATCGGCCGCCTGGCGTGCACGAGCGCCCAGCACATGCGCGGAGGGTAAGAGGGGCGCCGAGCAGATCCTGGCCGCCATGCGTGATATGATTGCTGCACGACAGTTCATGGCACGGCGTATTGGGTGGGCTACCACGTGAAGGGATGTCGTCTGAGTGTGACCGCCTCCTCTCATCTTCTGCGCGTGTGCTCTGGTGCTCCTCTCTGTGTTCCCTTGCCTCTCCTGTCGCTTGCTGTCTTCCGTCTCCCTGCCTCTGCCGCTGCCCCTTCCCTGCGGGGTGGGCGTGGTTGGGTCCTCGGTTTTTCCCGCCCCTGCCTTCCCCCCTTTCCCCTGCTTTTCTCCCGGCCCGCCCCCTCGGTCTTCCTGCTGCTTGCTCCTCCCTGCGCGCGCTGGCGGTGCTGGGGTTGGGCCCCCGCCTGGCTGGGGGAGTGCGCGCGGGGGCGCGCGTGCACCCGCCCCGCCGCTCCCTGCCGCCCCCGCCGCCCGCCCCGTCGACGACCTGTTCAACTGTGCCCGTTGCGCCTCTCTGGGGGGTAGGGTGCCTGCCCCTCGATTTTGTATAGGCGCGTTTCGTGCCTGGGTTGTGGGTCGTGGTGACGGTGGCCTGGGTTGCAAGCGCCCGAGGCTTGTGGGGCATGGACTCTGTCCTCCCCCGTCACCGGGTGCGCCCCCCCGCTGCCGAGGACTCTCGTTCGGGAGGATCGGTAGCGA